CTACTACGACACTACACTACACCACACACACACACACACACACTACACACACGACACACACACACACACACACACACACACACACACACACACACACACACACACACACACACACACACACACACACACACACACACACACACACACACACACACACACACACACACACACACACACACACACACCCTTATGGTTTGAGATTCACCATTCTTACGTTTTTGCAGCTATTTTTAAACCTTTTTTGACCCGAGCTGCGTTGAAATAACATAATAAGAAGGTGTGTTTACATGTTTACATGTTTGCAGGCAGCTCTGTGCAGCGCATGACTGGACACACACATGCAGAATCAACCCCCAGAGGGAAAGAAAAAGCAGGATAAGCTGTGAGGAGAGGAGGGGGGGGGAGATAGAGAGGGAGTGTCGGTGGGAGGTGAGTTTACTTACATATAAGTCTGCAGCGCCGTAAAACCCATCCTGATACACCACACTGAGAGGAGGAAGAGGAGAGAGTGGAGGAAGAGGAGGGTGCAAATGGAGTGGTGCACAGTCCCGAAAAACCAGAGTGGAGGAAGGTCACACAGCAACATCATTATAAAGAGAGAGAGGGGGAGAGAGGGGGAGACAGAGAGAGAAACGTTATTTCACACCCATGCAGCATGCAGAGGAAATACAGCTCCCACTTGAGCTCCATTACTGAAATAAAGCTGATTGTGGAGTCATAGGAGAGACTTCATAAAGCCTACATATCTACAAGAAACAGTTCAATAAATGTGGAAAAATAAAGATAATTAAATGGAAAATATATATATAAATAAAATAAAATAAATGAATTAACAAAAATTATAATACAACAAATAATAATTAAAATAAATAAATATAAGAATAGAAAATGTGGAAATATATACATTTTTATACATAAAAAAACATACAAATCAAAACACAACAAAATATGATATGCAAATTATTACAATTTAATTTTAAGCATTTTTCATTTATATTCACATTTATTTCCTTATATTAATATTTATATATTTTTTGCAAATAAATGATGATATCAAAGTTTTTCTATGTATTTATTTGTTTTTAATTCTTTATTATTTAAAGGCAAAAGCAAAAACGTATAAAATAAAGGCTTAAAGAATACATTTTATTATGTAAAAACAAATAATCCCAAAAAACAAACTAAAGATTTTAGATTAGAAATGTAATTTATGAGAATTTAAAAGGGGAACTTCTTTGTTTATTTACATATTTATTATTTACACATGTCTTTTACTCATCTTCTACAGATGTCTTCTTTGTAATGGCACTCCTGTGACTCCATAGCTAACAGATTAATGTCCTTGAGCTGAAGTGCCACCATAAAGATCTCTTATTCCCCCGCTACAATAAAACCAAGACATTAAAGGTCTCCTATTATACTGTTTTATCAATATATTACAGGTCTCAGATATATACAGAGCCTGTCTCTGATTGGCTGAAACACCAAACAGATCATTGCAGCATTACCCATAATCCCCTCTGTTTCAGCCCTGTTTCCAAAGTGCTGATTCTCTGTCTGTTACTTTAGATGAAAATAAGGAGCCCCTCCCCACGCCCCTCTGAGAGACATTTGGTTACAAAGAACACAATGGTGCTCTAGGAGGAGATTCAGGTGATAAGGGGGGGGGGGGGGGTTACCTTGGTTGCTGATTGGCTAATGGTTACACAAGCCAAAACATCGTTATGACATCATAAAGTGGCCAAAATCTGATCAGTTTATTTTCAGACAGGTTTTTATAGAAATGGATCAAAAAGAGAGAGAATCTTTGTTCCTGAAACTTTCAGAGTCTCTTTCCACAGAGGGGACACATGTTGATGTAGAAGAGACATGGAGAAGAGGGGACACATGTTGATGCAGAAGAGACATGGAGAATTGGATTTTGCACAATAGGTGACCTTTAAAGCTGCTTTGATGCTCTTATGAAATCTCAGAGGTGTGCTTTGGTTTCTAGTTGAGCAGATATGGAGCGGGTATTTCCTCTTGTTCAGCTTCATCATCATCATCATCATCATAGTAAGAAAAGCCATTAACCAATCAATGCTGCTTTGATCTGAGCAGTCACGAGTCGACCCCATTAGCCAATCACAGCACGGCAACAACATGCACAGTACACACACTGATGGACAAAACACACACGTTAACGGGGAATAATTCTGTGACTGCTTCTGCATAATGGCTCGATGTGCTTTGTGTGTGTTTATGCTAATCTGCCGATGGCTTGGTATCTGCGGGGTTTTATTCAAATGAAGCTCGGATGGTGCATTCCCATCAGAGCTGAAGAGCTTAAGAACTGAGTGTGACAGAGGGAAGGGATGTGAAGTGTGAATGATGTGTGAGCACGAGCCACTGTATTAAACAGAGAGCGGGGGAAGGATCCTGTGAAGTGGTATTCATGGGGAGTTCCTCAATAGATTTACAGGCCACTGAACAAAACAATTGATCCTGACTTTTAGTACTTCTCAAATGTGTTAAAACACTCAGTGCAGATACAGGGCAGATACAAATGTGTGTGAAGTCAATAACTCTGATAGTTCTGATTTCACCATCAGCGGCTAAAACACACTTTGAATTGTGCATTTCAGAATTATTATCTTTATCAATACTAACACAGGTTTGTACATATTTATTGCGGTTATATATTATTGTAAATTTGCATATTTTACTTTACTTTTATTCTATTTTGTTATCTTTTTATTTCACATTTTTACTTAATTTCTTAAAATTGTATAAATGTTTTAAAATATTGTATAACATTTTTTTCACATTGTTACTCAACTGGATTGTTTATATTAATATTTACATTTTATCTTATTCTTTATCCTTTTATAGCACTTTTTCTTCACATATTTTATATTAATATTTGTATTCTATTTAAAAAAAATTCTTCACATTTTTACTTAAATTCTTAAAATTATACATTTTTTTTTTAGATTGTATTTAAATCTTTTCACATTTTTACTTAACTGGATTGTTTCTAATAATATTTACATTTCATCTTATGCTTTATCCATTTATAGCACTTTTTACTTAATTTATTATATTTATTTAAGTCTTCTTTTAAGTCTGTTCTTACCCAGGGTATGTAGGCATGGCCGGTTGAGGCACGGCGGCTCGCACAGCGCTGTAGACGGGTCGGCCGCGGCCTCTCAGGTGAGCCCCGCGAAACGCTGCTGCTGCTGTGGTGGCTGCTGCCGCTGCTGAAGAGTAGGGGAACCCTGGGACTGAAGGGGTGTCTTGAATGTTGTTATTATTGTTGCAGGACATATTTGGAGAGGAAGGAGAAGAGAGTGTTGAGGTTGTGAAGAGTTTTTTGTGTGTGT